ACTTTGGGAGGCCAAGACAGCAGGATGGCTGGAGCCTAGGAGGTTGAGGCTGCAGTGAGCCATGATCTTGCCACTGTACTCCAACCTGGGCAACAAAGTGGGACCCTTTCTCAAAAAAGAAAACAGATAAAAATAGAAAACATAAACTTTGTTTTTCAACATAAGCTCCATCAAGTTTAAGACACTTTTGTAAGCAATGATATCAGCTCTTTAGTCCATCCCCAAATAAATAAGGGTCCTGGCTATTTAATCATGTTAATGCAGCCTGTTTACATTGTTAACTAAAGAAAAATGGGTACACTTTAAAGTTTTTTTTTTTTTTTAAAGATTAGGAAAGAACAAGTCAGAAGAAGCCAAATTAGAACTCTAAGGTGGATGCCTAATGATTTGCAACATTGAAATTCAAAATTGCCCGTGTTTGATGAGAGGAATGATGAGCAGGAGCATTGTCCTAGTAGAGAAGCAATCTCTGGCAAAGCTTACCTGGGCATTTTTCTGCTAAAACTTTGGCTATCTCTAAACACTCTCGTAATTTTTTTCTTTCTTTTTTTTTTTGGTAGAAACAAGGTCTTGCTATGTTGCCCAGACTGATCTTGAATTCCTGGCCTCAATGGATCCTCCTGCCTTGGCCTTTGAAAGTGCTGGGACTACAGGTATAAGCCACTGTACCCAGCCTCAAAACACCTTTATAATAAGCAGATGTTATTGTTTTTTGGCTCTCCATAAAGTCAACAAGAAAAATGCTCTAAGCATCCCAAAAAATAGTTCCCATGACCTTTGCTTTTGACTAATCTGCTTTTATTTTGACTGGATCACTTCCGCCTCTTGGTAGCCACTGCTCTGTTTGTGCCTTGTCTTCAGAATTGTCTCCTAGTAAAGCCATATTTCATCTCCTGTTACAATTCTTGGAAGAAATGCTTCAGGCTCTTGATCCCGCTTGTTTAAAATTTTTATTGAAAGACAACTGAAATTTTAAGTAGGAAAACCACCAAGAGAACAAAAGTACACTTGTCTGTAGCTAATCTGAGTGCCTATCAAGTTTCAGTACCTAGCAAGTGGAAAGTCGGCTCAAGTTTAATTTTTCTGTCAGCATTATGTAAGCTGAACCAACTGAGACATCTATGATGTTGGATATTGTATTAGTCAATTCTCGTACTGCAATAAATAACTACTTGAGGCTGGGTACAGTGGCTCATGCTTGTAATCCCAGCACTTTGGGAGGCCAAGGTGGGTGGATCACCTGAGGTCAGGAGCTCAAGACCAGCCTGGCCAACATGGTGAAACCCCATCTTTACTAAAAATATAAAAATTAGCTGGGTGTGGTGGTGAGCATCTGTAATCCCAGCTACTAGTGCAGCTGAGGCAGGAGAATCAGGGAGGCGGAGGTTGCAGTGAGCTGAAATAGTACCACTGTACTCCAGCCTGGGTGACAAGAGTGAAACTACATCTAGAAAAAAAGAAAAAGAACTACCTGAGAGTGGATATTGTATAAAGTAAAGAAGCTTGACTCACAGTTCCACAGGCTGTACAGGAAGCATGGCTGGGGTGCCTTGGAAAATTTAAAATCATGGCAGAAGGGGAAAACAGCTGATCTTCACATTGCCAGCAGGAGACAGCAAGCAAAGAGGGAGGTGCTACACACTTTCAAACAACCAGATCTCATGAGAACGCTGTCATGAGACAGCACTAGGGCGATGGTGCCAAACCATCAGAAACCATGCACGTGATCCAGTCACCTCCCACCAGGCCCCTCCTCCAACACTTCCTCTCATTACAATTCTACATGAGATTTGGATGGGGACACAGAGCCAAACCATAGTAGATATTCTCTGTGCTATAATCACTGGTACTCTTTAATGAGAGCACATACAAGATGAATTTTTTCCTCCCAAATTGCTGTGAATGATCTGCTTCAGGCTTCATCTTCAACATTGTCTCATCTCTTAAAATGAGTTATCCATTTGTAAACTGCAGATCTCCTTGAGGTATTGTTCCCATAACCTTATTTGAAGCATCAGTGATTTCACCATCCTTCCACCCAAACCTCACCGTAAATTTGATGTGTGTTCTTGCTTCAATTTTAGCTGAATTCATGTTTCTCTGATAAAAGGGCGCTTTTCTAACTGTCTTATTCATGTTAGTGTCTCTCACCAGGTCCTTTTCAGACATGTTATAAAAAGTTAGTTTATTCCGGTGCAAAAAAAATTTGACATCCATGCACACTTTTTTTTATAATACGTATTTTCTATGAAAATTTTGAAGAACCCTTATATAGATGAATTATAGGTTATCAAAGTTTTCCTGGATTTTTCAGGCTTTATTCTTAACAGTTTTCAAATGAAAGGGCTTGGAGAAACCGAAGAACTAAAAGGGTTCCCTCAAAAGAGTTTTGAGGGAAAGAAAAATTGACATACTCACATCTTCACCCTGGGCAACAAAAGTTATGAGTCAAGATATTGGTCACATAACTTAGGTTTTATGATGATAGTTATCACATTAAGATAACTTAGGTTTTATGATTTTTTTTTTTTGGTTGGTTTTTTTTTTTGTCATTTTACAAGAGGGAAGTTTTAACTGCAACATCACTGAACAGTGTCCCATTCCCTATTCTCACCATTGGTATGGTGGATCTTTTTTTTTTTTTTTTTTTTGGGCCGGGGGGGGACGGAGTTTCGCTCTTGTTACCCAGGCTGGAGTGCAATGGCGTGATCTCGGCTCACTGCAGCCTCCGCCTCCTGGGTTCAGGCAATTCTCCTGCCTCAGCCTCCTGAGTAGCTGGGATTACAGGCACGCACCACCATGCCCAGCTAATTTTTTGTATTTTTAGTAGAGACGGGGTTTCACCGTGTTGACCAGGATGGTCTCGATCTCTTGACCTCGTGATCCACCCGCCTCGGCCTCCCAAAGTGCTAGGATTACAGGCTTGAGCCACGGCGCCCGGCCCGGATCTTGTTTTTCTTAATGTAGTACATATTAATAAAATTTATGAGATCTAAGATCTATTGTATTTGAGAGATTAACTGACATAAATGGTATGCTTTTATAAAACCTGTTAAAATGACAAAAATGGTTTGACATCTTTAAGGAACAAAGTGATCTAAACTTCTTAATATGAATTGGCATTACCTTGAACACATTGCATTGTGATTACATGAAAGATTTGCTGAAATGGTCACGTGTTCAGAAACTACTACATCTTAATAGTAAACAGTTGCCTTGTTTGTTTCTTTGGTTTGCTTGTTTGCTGCTTAGCATCAGGACACCCGCCCCTTGTGTGGGAAATACACAATTTTGTGACCCTATGGGTTGAAACCCAAAAAGTCTGATGCTTTTTCTCATTCCTGGCAACCAAGGGATAGGACCAAATTGGGTCAATTGAATGCCCTTGCCCCTAACTGTGAACAGAGTAGTGTTATGAAGAAGGAAAAGGAGATTAGAATCAATGCTGGTATCCTTCCATTGCCCCATCATTTCAGGATCCAAGTGTCCAGTAGATGTGGTCCCTTAGCCAGCCTGTACCTTTGGCCATGGTACCAGCTAACTACTTTCCCTATGTTCCCAAGTTATCTGGTAACCATTCAGGAAATTATTTTCCTACTTAAGTATACAAAAAACAGTGTCAGTTTTCACCTGACCGATTCAGTCACCCTTCAGAGATGTAGGAAAACTATTAGCAGCTGAGGGTTGCTGCCAAGGCCAGTGTCTGGGCTCTGCAGTTTTCTAACTTGTGATATTGGGTCACCCCACTAAGCAGGAGAGCAGCGACTCCGTCTGGCTTAATCATTATGGGATGGCCAGCTCCCAGCTCCATGCCCTAGGCAAACAGACATTCAGTGCATATTTATCTGACTTTAATTTAATTGAAGAAAACAGTAACACTGAACTCTAGGTTTGCTCAGTATCTGTTACAGATTTCTTGATTCTGACTGCTTTTAGTTTAAATTTTTTTTTTAGCAAGAAAGAACTAAGAATGATGACACTAGGCTTTAAATTCAGGTAAACAGGAGGCTGGGTTTTTTGCATAAGCAGAAATGAGGAAGTCAAGAGGAAGAGATTAAATTTCTGTTGTAATAAATTGAATCTGCTAAATGCCATGGCTTTTTAATTTTCTTAATCACACATTAAACCGGTTATGTTGCTGCCTAGATGGCTATATATTTGTTTAAAAGTACAGCAGTCCCTCCTACTGGACTTTGATCCTGCAAAAACAACTGTTATCTAACTCACCCTCAGACTGTCACTGGGACACCTGCATGAAGAATATTCTTTCATTTTTTAAAAAAGGTTTTGCATATATATGATTTAAGCTTTCAAAATGATTAGAAAATGTTTTATTGTTCTACTCTTGTTGCTTGTGACTATAGAAGAAGCAAGGTTATCATCTCTCAGTTTTCTGGATATAGAGAAGACTGAAATACTATTTTTTACGAAGACGGAAGAAACCATCATTGTAAATTCAAGCTACAAAGATAAACGGCCTAATTCCAGCTACCTCTTTGTAAAAATAGAAGATCCTAAAATACTGCAAATGGTGAATGTGATCAAGAAGATCTCATCAGATGGTACAAACTTTATCATAAATCTGGAGACTGATGAAGAAGGAGAAACAAATGTGACTATTCAACTGTGGAATTCTGAAGGTAGGCAAAAAAGACTCATTGAAGAAATCAAGAATGTGAAAGTCAGAGTGCTTAAACAAAAAGACGGTCTTCTCCAGGCGTCAATGCATATTGATAGAAATATCCTAATGCTTATTTTACCACTAATACTATTGAATAAGTGTGCATTTGGTTGCAAGATTGAATTACAGGTGTTTCAAACAGTATGGAAGAGACCTTTGCCAGTAATTCTTGGGGCAGTCACACAGTTTTTTCTGATGCCATTTTGTGGATTTCTTTTGTCTCAGATTGTGGCATTGCCTGAGGCACAAGCTTTTGGATTTGTAATGACCTGCACATGCCCAGGAGGGGGTGGGGGCTATCTCTTTGCTCTGCTTCTAGACGGAGATTTCACGTTGGCCATTTTGATGACTTGCACATCAACATTATTGGCTCTGATCACAATGCCTGTCAATTCTTATATATACAGTAAGATATTAGGGTTGTCAGGTACATTTCATATTCCTGTTTCTAAAATTGTATCAACACTCCTTTTCATACTTGTACCAGTATCAGTTGGAATAGTCATCAAGCGTAGAATGCCTGAAAGAGCAAACTTCTTGGAGAGAATAATTAGACCTCTGAGTTTTATTTTAATGTTCGTAGGAATTTGTTTGACTTTCAGAGTGGGATTAATATTTTTTAAAAAAGATAACCTAGAGGTGCTTCTGTTGGGTCTCTTAGTTCCTGCTTTGGGTTTGCTGTTTGGGTACTCCTTTGCTAAAGTTTGTATGCTGCCAGTTCCTGTTTGTAAAACCGTTGCTATCGAAAGTGGGATGTTAAATAGCTTCTTAGCTCTGGCCATTATTCAGCTGTCTTTTCCACAGTCCAAGGCCAATTTAGCATCTGTGGCTCCTTTTACAGTAGCCATGTGTTCTGGATGTGAAATGTTACTAATCATTCTAGTTTACAAGGCTAAGAAAAGATGTATGTCTTTCTTACAAGATAAAAGGAAAAGAAATACCCTAGTCTAACAATTAAAGCATTACTGAATTCCTACTCTGGGTAAGGCACGGTGGGAGAGTCAAAGAATAACTACAATGATACCTGCTCTAAAGCCAGTTATAATCTAGTTAAAAATCTGACATTGGGGATAGAGAATACATATGTGTATATATATACACACACACACACACACACACACATATTCATACATGCTAAGCACTCAATGAGTGGTGGAGATGATAATACGAAAGTTCAAAGGAAGGAGACAACTTTTCAACTGTGTTGGTTTGAGAATGTTTTATAGGCTATGACGTGAATATGATACTTCCAGTGGTCTCCTAAATGAGACAAAGCAATAGAAAAGTGATTACGATATATCCTAAGTATTTAAAGAAGGAACACCCATATAGCAGACATTTGGTAAATTCTCACTCAGTGAATGAATTTGCAAATTTCTATTTGGTGCTCTCATTAGCACATCAAAATGAATATGTTTTAAAGTAAATGTGGCATCTCTGCTCTCAGAGCTGAGCTTTCTCCTGTCTTCCATGTTAACCCACCAAAGGCATTACCATTTACCCTGAAACACAGGGTCAGCTCTTCAACCTCTTCTCTCTTCTGTCTTCTTTCTTTATAGTCAACGTAGTTCCTAAGAAACAGCCTATAATACAATTGCCAGTGCTCTTCTCAGTTCTCAGTGCTATCACTGTTTTTCTGCACTCTATTGTTTCTTCCCTAAACCTTTCTAAACTGGCTTCCTGCTTTCCCTATTTCCTAGCCTTATGATTGATTGTAGTCACATTCTTTAATCTTCTTATAGTCCAGTTTTCTCACATAACAAATGAAGCTAATGGTGTCAACACCGTAGATTGTCCTAGGAATTAAATGAGAGTATACATGTGTGGGGCTTAGAAGAGTGCCTGGGACATAGTAAGTGCTATTATGCTATTATGACAGTTTTAACTTTCAACCCTGGTAGATCTGCTGCTTGTTTGAAATAGCAATCATATAACTATGTATGGGGCCTAAAACTGTCAACATTTTCTATCAGTACTGTTCACCATCTTGATCATAGAATTAGATAAGTTTTATTTACTTTGCCAGTTGATAAGATAACCAAGGTATTTTTTTTTAATACCACCAAAACCAATATATGACTACCAAGATTTGTGCAAAATAATGATAATTGCCTAAGTAGAATATGTTACTCCTTTAAACAGAAATACCCACTATGGGTTTAAATAGAATTACTTTTCTCCAAATTTAACTTACATAATGTTTTTGTTTGTTTGCTTTTCATTTGGAGATGGAGTCTCACTCTGTCACCCAGGCTGGAGTGCAGTTGGTGCAACCTCCACTCACTGCCTCCTGAGTACCTGGGATTACAGGCGCCCACCAGGACGCTCAGCTAATTTTTGTATTTTTAGTAGAGACGGGGTTTCTCCATGTTGGCCAGCCTGGTCTTGAACTCCTGATCTCAGGTGATCCAACCTCACCCTCCCAAAGTGCTGGGATTATATACATACTCTGAATAAACGTATTTTACTACCTGGGAGACGGGAAACCTACCTTTCTAGTTATACTTTATTATTAACCTTGTGACCTTGACCAAGACACTTGTCTTCACTTTAGTTTTCGAATTTGTAAAATAAAGAGATTCAACTGAAGTTTAGATCTTATACAACTCTGTAAGTCTGTGATTCTGGCATAGAACTCAAGGACCTAGTGTTTTGAACAGGGGATAGCATAAAGTAATAAAGATTCAGGATGATGAGAATAGCTGCATACTACATTTGCTTTCTAATTAGGGAAACAAACAAACTATGAGCTCCCTTAGGACAAGGATCCCTTACTGCTTTTTAAAAAATTTCCTAGTGTTTGCTGTGAAAGAAAAATAAATCTTGGGGCCCCCAAATCACAAAGGTAAAAGGAAAAGTCAAGCTGGTAACTGCTTAGGGCAAACCTGCCTCCCATTCTATTCAAGGTCACCCCACTGCTTACTGAGATAAATGCATTCTGATTGCCTCCTTTGGAGAGACTAATCAGAAACTGAAAAGAATGTAATCATTTGTCTCTAAACTTGGGACCTAGTAGCCCCCTCCAGCTTCCACTTTTCCTGCCTTTGCTTCCAGTTGTCTGGCCTTTCCAGATCAAACCACTGTTCGGCTTACATATGTTGTCTAATGTCTCGTGTCTCCCTAAAATCTTTAAAACCAAACTGTACTGTGATCACCTTGGGCACATGTCATCATGACCCCCTGAGGCTGTGTCACGTGTGTGTGTCCTCAAACTTGGCAAAATGAACTTTCTGAATTAACTGAGATCTGTTTCAGATATTTGAGGTTCACGCTGCATATGATTGAAAAGAGTAGGTCTTTATAAAACACTTACTGAACAAATTAATCAGTAATGTCTATAAAGGTCAGGATCAGATGCTCTGGAGCTATACTGTGCTTGGGCTGCACTTTAGCACTGTCAGTTTACCAGCTGTGGAACATTTTGGTCAAGTTACTTGATTTCCCTATGCCCAGATTCATGTTGAAAATAGCAATAATGGTAGCACCTACCTTATGGTATTATTCTGAGGATCAAATGAATGAATATGAGCAAGGTCCTCATAACAATGCCTGACACATGGTAAGCCCTATTATTATTTTTATTACTTTATGCCTATTTAAAAAATCTTATAAAGTAGTTGAAAGTGCATGGATGGAATTTGGAATATATTTTATTTCTTTAATAGATGTATCAAGGAGGACAGACTTTACATAGTAAAGCTTGTCCTAAAATATGGATAGGGATGGGATGACTCAAGTTATTCCTTTTTTTAAAAAAATAAGAATGAGAGGCATAAAGCAGATTGTCTGATCAGTTGAGTTCATACTATTTTAAACAGCCACGATTAAGTAGAATAAAGATCCAGAGATAGAATGGTTATGCCAGTTTTTCTTTTTTTAAAGTTTCCGTCTCTTAAGAGAGACAATTCTATGATACACTGTTCCAAGAATAACACTTTTATGATACGTATTTTTATGTCTTGGAAAGCTGATGGCATTATAAGGGTATGTCAAAGTCTTAACCAATATATGCCACTCCAATCTGTTATATCAAAACACAAGATCTGATTAGATATCCTTGCACACTCCACCCCTGAACAGCTGTACATGATGTATATAAATTTGATCATTTATATCAAAATCCACTTAATTATTATTATAATTAGGAATGTTTTGGCATGTGGAATCCAAATTATTTTTTAATGAAGAGAGTGATTATTTAAAAGAAGTCATCTCCAAAGACTAAGTGTAGTTGGCAAGATGCCCACAATTTCTGGGGATTAAATTCCTGTGGTCCCTCTTTATCATACAAATACAGAACAAGGAGGCACTTGTTGCCTACTGGGAAGGATGACCAGACTATTTTGTGGCCTCACAAAGGCCACCCTTCCCTACAACTCTGTTGTGTACACTTGGCTGTCTAGGGAGGTGTCAGGGGCATTGGATCTCACCTCTCCTTCATTCGGAGGTTCAGCGTAATTACAGCCTCTCCAATAGATGGAAGTCAGCTGACAGGAAAGGATACCAAAGGCCTCCAAGAGGGAACTCGCCTTAGGGAAGGTTGAAAGAGCAAGGAGCTGGACCTCATGCCAGGAAGTGGAGTTTGTGCTGCTGTCACCTGCCCCCCACAACCACCTGGACACAGCAGATTTCTTAGGTTTGGGAATAATGGGTGCAGATGGGACTGTAGTTTTCAAAACTGCCACTTTGGGAACTCAAGGACCGTGCATCCCGTACTGAGATGTCTGCAGCCATCTGAACTACCTTCACAGCATCAGAGAAAAGATCCTTTGGATTTGTAAGACCAGTTTGCACCTTTGCCACAATTGAGTCTGAACCCTAAGACTTCCCTGTGCACTGGCAGATTTTCATTTCACTTTCAGTAGCCATTTGGAAGCAGAAAGACCTCTTTGGACTGAAAACAACAACAACAACAACTGAGTTACCTGAGAACAAATGCGAAGTAGTCGCTGAGGTGAGGCCTCTCAGAAAAACTGGACTTCCTGCTCACCTGACATAAGAAACTTGAAAGGTTTTCATTTGAAGGGATAAGATGTTTGATATGCTGATTTTAGCAGCTTTTCAAGTCACCAAAGCCATGTTCATTTACATAAACAGAAGATGACTGATGACTTTGCTGCCAAAACTTGGGAAATATTAGTTGGTTATGAATGAACATTTGTCATCATGCAGTTGGCAAGATTCTTATTTTAAGATGATTGGCAATGAAGAACCGAAAAACTAGCCTCCCTTTTTTGTTTTAAGAAAACAAAAGTATCATTTGATAGAGACAAAAGAGGTATCCAAGCTGGATACCCAAGGCATCACTCTTTTTTGATTAAAGACACTTCTTGCTCCTTGTGAGGTGTGAGAATTGTGTCCAGTCCACATCACTCATCTCTAAGACATTTCATTTGAAATATATTGGTGACATCTTGTCTGTTGATTAAACGAAGAGAAGCAATAACTTTCTAAGGAAAGAGCCAAATAAGTAACTTACTTCCCTGGTCCAGTTATAGTTAGGACATCTTATATTTGTGCTCTGCTTTTTGCACTATAATGTTGTATGGACCATGATGTCACTCTCTTTTTTTTTTTGGAGACAGAGTTTCACTTTTGTTGCCCAGGCTGGAGTGCAATGGTGTGATCTTGGGTCACTGCAACCTTCAGGAGTCAGAGAAAAATTTTTGCTTCTGAGGCCTTCATTGTGTGGGGTATCATTTTCTGAACCCCAAAACTTTCAAGTCAGTGTGTTTCACTCTCTGGTCTTGCTGTGTGAACCGAGGACAAATCACTTAACTTCTCTGACCCTCAGTTTCCTCATCTGTTTGACAAAGCTAATCATACCTTTTTCAAGAAACTGTTAAAACTTTAAGGAAAATAATGCATATAAAAACACAATTCAGCCAGACGTGATGGGTCACACCTGTAATCCCTACATGGGAGGCCGAGGTGGGTGGACTATTTGAATCCAGGGGTTTGAGATCAGCCTGGGCAACATGGTGAAACCCGGTCCCTAAAAAAAAAAAAAAAAATAGCCGGGCGGTGGGGGGGGGGGGGGGCGTGTGTAATCCCAGCTACTCAGGAGGCTGAGGCACGAGAATCGCTTGAACCTGCCAGGCGGACATTGCTGTGAGTTAAGATTAGGCCATTACACTCTAGCCTGGGCGTCAGACGGAGATTCAGTCTCAAAACAAACAAACAAACAAACCCCAACAAAACAAAAAAACAAAAATACCCCATACAATTGCTCGAAGCATAGTAAGTCCTTAATAAATAGTATCTAAGTAATTTATCAAGAATTGGGCAGTTGGTTCTGGTTATCAGTTATCAAAAAAAAAAAAAATCTAGTATAGGTTTACCAGCTTTAGGTTAGCACCTAAAAACTGCACAATCGGAGTCATAGCTACAATTTGGGTTTTGTCAAAATAGTACTATCGAATAAATGGGAGAAAGGAGAAAGAAAGCTAAAGGGGAAACCGAATGAATGGAGAATGAAATAATAAAAAGGCAAAATAAAGAGAGAAGTCATTTTTAAAAAATTCAGAGATGAAAGGGCAAGCAGGAGAAGAGAACCAGAAATGAAAAAGAGGATGCTGTATTCGATGCTCCAGCGCGGGTCAGGACGAGGCCAGGCCTCGCAGAGCCTCGCAGGGCGCAGCTCGGGGCGGGGCCCGAAGCAACCACGCCCCCTCAAGAACGAGTTTTAAAAGGCGGAACTTCCTGTTGCGGGTAGCCCCTCTACCTCCGGAAGAGCCGAGCGTGGTAACGGCGGGCACAGAGCTAGCAGGACGCCCTCTGACTCAAGGTGAGACCCCTGTTTTCCTCGCGCCCCCTCTCTACACCCTCCGGGTTCGGCAGGCGCTGTGGGTTTTCAGGGTGGCCCCTTCCCTCCGCAGGGTCGGGGAGGAGCGCGGTGCGCGGTCAGCGCCTGGGGCGGAGGCCGCATCTGGGTGACCCCTGCCTGCCGCGTTATCTGGAGCTGCCCTGGGGTGACCAGGAATAGTCCCGACGTTGGAGTAGCGACTCGCCCACGCGACCTCACTTAACTTCCGTGGCTGCTTCTGTAGAATAATTGCCCCTTTTCATGTGCCCGACTCTGAGAAACTTGGCGCACCTCCAGGGCCATGTAGTCACTGTAAGTGATGGGGCAGCGCCCAGGTCCTGTGCTGTCCGCAGTGGCGCTGCTGGGACAAATGGCAGGCAGAAAAGAAGGTGGTCTGGCTCCCACGCTGGGAGGCTATGACCAGGACAGAAACAGCAGAA